GGCCCAGGTTGGGGGGGCAGGGGTGCCGCTGCAGCCACAGGCCCGTGTCCCTGCGGTGGCCTTGCCTGCACTCAGAAGGCCACCCCGAGGTGTCCCAGGTGTTTTAAATAAATAGCATTAAAAAAAAAACAAAAGTGGGGTCCCCCAAGGTGACGGAACTGCTACGAAGAACAGAATTCTACTATGTGTGGAAGTCCAGTTATTTTTATTTGAAAACCAAGACACTTTGTTATCTGGAGCACGTGGAATAGGAAGGACCCCCGGACACTGAGGGGCTTGTTCCCAGGGGCTGGATGGCCACATCCACATTTATTTGAACTTCAACATGAGCTGTAGCCATTTTGGGGTTAGATCTGTAAAAATTTCAGTTTCTGGAAAAGAATCAGGCCTGGGGCTGAGCCTTTTAAACATGCCGTAGTCACTGCACGTCACTCTCTCATGTGCCTCAGGCATGTCTGGAGCTAATTGTCCCGGTGTTTTCGTTTTCTCCCCCTACCCCCACTCTCATGCCAGATCACTTGTTCTAGAAGATTGTTCCCATTGTGCACAAAATCTTTGGAGGATGGTCTTGAGGGGTTCAGGTGCTCCGGCTACATAAAGGAGAACAGGTCCTGGAGAGCCAGAGACCTGCGTTGGAGTCCTGGCTGTGCTGGCTGTTACCCACATGCCTTGGGGTAAGGTCAGCCCCTCTGGGGCACAGTTTACAAGTCTGTACAATGGGTGCTTTGGGTCAGGAAACTGAAAGGTCTTTGCAAGCTGCACAATTCCACAGTTCCTTCCTTCTTTCAGCCCCTTGCTTATCTTGACAAAACCGTTAGTCTGTTCTGGGTTACCTACTGACTGAAGCTGGGAAATGAAGGGGAGTATTTACTTCAAAATCATACTGGTCAGATGTTTTACTCACTTGTACAAGCCACGTGACTTCTGTGAATTGGTGAGACTTTCCCGTACAGGGACCCCGATATTTATTTTTGAGAAACTAAATGAACTTTAAAGAAATCAAGGTGTATAACAAAAAGGTAGTTTTAAAAGCCACATAATGCTCTAAGGTTATAACAGGCACCCTCGGCCTTTCTCCCCCTCCCTCGCTCTGCACACTCTTAGCTACTGCTTCTGGAATTTACCAGTTGTTTTAGTTCAGGCTGCTGTAACAAATTATCATAGACCGGGTGGCTTAAACAACAAGCATTTATTTCTCACAGTTTTGGAGGCAGAAGTCCAAGATCAAGGTGCTGGTAGAGAGTAAAAAGAGTAAGTAAGCTCTTATGTCTTGTGTTTTTTTAAGTTTTATTTTATTGTTGTTATTTTTAATTGAAGTATAGTCAGATGCAATGTGTTAGTTTCTGGGGTACAGCATAATGTCCTAGTCATGCATATATATACATATATTCATTTTCATATTCTTTTTCATTAAATGTTATTATGAGATATTGAATATAGTTCCTTGTGCTATACAGAAGAAATTTGTTTTTTTACCTATTTTTATATATAATGGTTAGCATTTTCAAATCTCAAACTCCCAAATTTATCCCTTCCAATCCCCTTTCCCCCAGTAATCATAAGATTGTTTACTATGTCTGCGAGTCTGTTTCCCTTTTGTAGATGAGTTCATTAGTGTCCTCTTTTTTCTTTTCTTTCTTTCTTTCTTTTTTTTAAAGATTCCATATGAGTGATATCATATGGTATTTTTCTTTCTCTTTCTGGCTTACTTTGCTTAGAATGATGCTCTCCAGGTCCATCCGTGTTGCTGCAAATGGCATTATTTTATTCTTTGTTATGGCTGAATAGTATCCATGTCTTATGAGGACACCAATCCCCTTCATAAGGGCTCCACCCTCATGACCTAAGCACCTCCCAGTGACCCCACCCCCTAATACTGTCACGTTGGAGGTTAGAATTTCCACAGATGGATATGGGAGGGACACAAACAATTCAGTCCACAACATCTCTGTTTTTCTAAATATTGCCTATGCATTAAAATTTCTTTTCTCATCAATTTTGTAAACTTTATCATTGCTCTTTCTTTTTATGGTAGATCAGGTTTTTAGTTTAATTACACTTCTTCCCCCTCTTGTATCCTTCCCAAATAACATCTCAATTTTGGTTAAATCTACATACAGTTTTTCTTTATCATGACTATCGTGACTACAACATTTTTCTTTTTTTTCTTTTTTTGGTACAACTTTTTGTTTATCCTGGAGTTAATAATTGCTTTGGTTTTCACATACCCTTCAACATGGCTTCCCATGCAAGCTTCCACGAGCTCAGTCCTATCCGATAGTTGATCAGTCCTCTTTTCTCCCTGGAGAAGTTGCACTGGAGCCTTCTGATACCTGTCCCATCCTGCGCGGACTGCCCCAGGCTGCTGCGTGACTTGTCCGGGACCTTCCTTTGCTCACTTCTGCATGGGAGCTCATGCTTCCAGGTCTTGCAGCTTCATCTTTTTCTTTCCTACCTAGTCTTAGTGGAGTGCACCTGAGACACCTTATTGTGTTCTCTTGTTCAGTGTGAGCATAGATTCTTGATTTGGAAATGATTTTTACCTAGAATGTTGAAGGCATTTTCCCAGTGAATTCTGGTTTCTGTGCTGCTGTTGAGAAGTCTGATGCCATTCAAATTTTTGACGCTGTTTCATGACCTGATTTGCTTCCCTCTGGAAGCTTTTGTCCTTGGTGTCTGAAATGTCACGAAGATGTGCCGTTCTTATCTTGTTTGGGTGCTTGGTGTACTCTCCAGTCTGAAAGCTCACGCCCTTCAGTTCTGGGAAGGTTTCTGGTATTACTTCTTTGATAATTTTATTCTCTTGATTTTCTCTGTACTTGCTTTCCGAAACTCTTATTTGTCACATGTTGGACCTCCTGGCTTCATCATGTAACTCTTTAATTAGGAAAAAAAGCCTATTATACATTGCTTTGACTTTGTGTCCTGCTTTCTGGGAAGCTTTCTTAAC